TAGTCTCCTGAAGTCAATAGGATCTCATTTAGTGATGGATAATCAATCAATCTTATCCAATTCATTCGTGGGATATCTTATTTTACATATAACATATAATGTATGATTATATAGCCATGGTGGCATAGTCGTTAGAATGCAGTATTGCAGGCTAACTCTGCATTTCCTCTGCCAGGAGTTTGATCCTGAGAAGTTCAAGGTTGACTTACCCTTTCATCCTTCCAAGGTTGGTAAAATGAAGACCTAGATTGTTGGGGCAATATGCTGAGACTGTAAACCGCTTAGAGAGGGCTGTAAAACACTATAAAGTGGTCTATAAGTCTAAGTGCTTTTGCTATTGCTATTATCAACAGTTACTAATTTAGTTAATTTTATTTTTTGTTCTGGCCCTGTGGCTTCTGATAGGTATTTATAAATACACATGTAGACACATGAGTAAGGGAATAAATTGCATATAGAAATACAAAGGACAGGAGAATATTTCAGTTTGAATGCAAATGAAATAAATAAAATAAAAGGCATGGGTGTTCATTTGGAACCATTCATTTTGAGGCAACTAAATTTATTGACTGAGGCCAATGGAATCAGTGAAGCTTACTGGGTTTAAAGTAGAGTTTCTACTTATTTCAGCTCCAGCACAGAGAAAATCTCCTGGTCTTCATCTTGGAATCTGTTAGGCTTCATCAACAGACCAGAAGACATGAAATCCTGGCAGATTTAGCATTCCGGGCCCCATTCCTCATTATTTTAAAGTATTACCCCCATCCCCCTAGTGCTTCTTTCTCGTTGCTCTAAACAGAAGGAATTTTATTTATATCACAGGAATCTTAACCAAATAACAAAGTTGGAAGGGACCTTGAAGGTTTCCTAGTCCCATTCCTTGCTCAGGCAGAAAACCTTTTCAGAAAAATGCTTGTCCAATCTCTCCTTAAAAACTTCCAGTATTGGAGTATTCACAAGTTCTGGAGGCAAGTTGTTCCACCTATTAATTTTTCTGTCAGAAAATTTCCCCTTAGTTCTAGTCGCTTCTCTCTTTGATTAGTTTCCATCCATTGCTTCTTGTCCTGCCTTAAGGTGCTTTGGAGAATAGCTTGACTCCCTCTTCTAACTGCCAACCCCAGAGATATTGAAACACTGCTATCATGTCACCGCTAGTCCTTCTTTTAATTAAACTAGACATACCCAATTCCAGCGTTCCTTCTTTATATGTTTTAGCCTCCAGTCCCCAAATCATCTTTTTAAAATGTGGCAACCAAAACTGTATGCAGTATTCCAAGTCTGGTCTTACCAAAGCATTATAAAGTGGTATTAGCACTTCACATGATCTTGAATCTATCCCTCTGATAATGCAGCCTAAAACTGCATTACTAACTAGCTAATAACTATTGGCTTTTTTAACAGCTGCAGCACTCATATTTAACTAATTATCCACTAGGACTCCAAGATCCCTCTCACATTTACTACTATTTAGCCACCTACACTTTGCCTGTGCATTTTGTTTTCCTTTAACCTTCCCACTGAGGTGGTGCCTATTTTTATACTTGTAGTTTTACATGCTTTCAAACTGCTAGTTGGCAGAAGCTGGGACAAGTAACGGGAGCTCATTCTGTTATGCGGTGTTAGGGATTCTAACCGCCAAACTGCTGGCCTTTCTGATTGACAAGCTCAGCATCTTAGCCACTGAGCCATAGCGTCCCTGTGTGTTTTTACATACCTATTTATAAATATCTGTCCGAAGCTACAGGACCAGAACAAAAAATAAAATTAACTGAATTAGTAACCACTGATAATCATTCATTACATGTAAAATAAGGTATCCCACGAAATATTTCCAAGCTTAGAATGAATGTAAAAATAGATTGAACAAGAAGACCCTCTGAAATGAATTGGACAAGATAGATTATACATCCCTAAATGAAATTCTACTGACTTCAAGAGATTACTAGATCCAACCTAAGAATTACTTGCTTTCTACTGAAAATTTTAGAGTGCATGTAAATTGAATTTGTTTCATTGAGGAGAATTAAATCAATCAAACTAGCCCACTGAGGTTAAATTAGAGTTTACATTCATTTCAGGTCTAGGACAAAGGGATCTCCTGTTCTTTATCTTGGAATCTGCCAGGATTCAGCAACAGACCAGAAGAGATGAAATGATGAGCGATGTTTGTGCCTCCCTGTCCCATGCCTCATTGTTTTTAAGCAACATCTCCCCTCATAGTGCTTCTCTCCCATTGCTCTGAACAGAAAGAATTTTATTTAGGTCACAGGAATTTTAAGCAGTGTTCTGATTTAGAAGAATTGCCAAAGACCGAGTTGCCTTAGAATCAACTTTATACCACCTACAGTATGACGGTGCATTTGGTTTTTCTTGCCTAAAATGTAGAACCTTACTTTTTTCACCATTGATTTTCATTTTGTTAGATAGCACCCAATGTTCGAGTCTGTTCTATTAATGTTCAATGTTTAAATCAAGTCTGTTAAGATGTATTCTAATTTAGAAGAAATGCAGAAAACCAAGTTACCTTAGAATCCATTACATCCACAAATTTAGCTGCCAGACCTAGATCTTTTAAAGATTTCAAGTGATTTTTAATGCATAGATATAGATGTATAGGTATATAGATATAGACAAAGAAAAGAAATGTTAATATATGTGAATTAAAGTAATTTTCTGAAAATATACATACAGGAATGCAATCTGGATAATCAAATTTCCCATCCACACAATTAGTTCTTAATGATCTGGTATTTGGATGTTGTTTATAGCCTCTTAAACATACAAATTCTACTGTTCCTCCATCTGGAACATATATTTTATTCCTGTAGCTCCACTTCAGACTTATATTGTGTTCTCTCATATCTTCGTCATTTACTGTACAAGCAACTGCAAAAGGACACAGATCAGATGACATATAGAAAGTTTTAGACTGACATTTGATAAAGTAATTAAAGTTTAGGTTAGAAATTCTATGTTGCAAAAGATTAAAATGATTAAGGATCTATGTAAATGGATCCCCCCTTTTTGTCTATCATGAACTAATTATCAGTCATGATAATTAGTTTTAAGCAAGACAATGTTACATGCATAAAAGGAAGAAGAAAAATACTTTAGTCCCCTTCTTCCAAATTTCCTCATACTGAATGTCTGAATTAGGAGAAGACCAAGTTCAGGCAACTTCTCTTAAAATGTCATCTCATATCTTCTTTTTCAATGTAGATTAAACGGGACTAAATGTGATTAAATCAGCAGAGTCTGCCTCCATACTTTGCCTATTTAAAAAAACAATAATTTTAGTTCTCTAGAGATTCAACTAATACTACCATTCAAAAAAAAAAAAAAGGCAAATTTTGGTTTAGGGAAAGCAGAATTTCATCAGGAAGGTTTAACAAAATTGAGGACAACATTTGTAAATGGTAAAAGATCTTGTACAATTCTCCATTATGAAGCAGTTTCTCCCAGAGAGAGTTATTTTATCTTGGTTCATAATACTACCACTTGTTCTGACCAAGGCTTCCTGAGACCATAATTAAGCACACACTTAGTTCAAACAACTCTCTTTTTATTCCAACACTGGTAATTATGTTCATTCCCAGCCCGTAATGAGTCCCAAACAGTCTCTCGAGATAAACACCCACCTTTATCTCTTGCTGCCAACAACTAAAGTGCCAAATTAACTGTAAAAGGCCAAATGGAGTACAAAGTCCACACAGAGCTTCAAAGTTTAATCCAAACAGAGTGAACAACGTTGCTTCCTTCAAAGGTTCCTGTCCCTTTGCTCCTCCTTTATATCTTATGGGAGGGGCAATCACCTCCAAGCCTTACTCTCAAGTCTCCCCTTTTGTCTTAACTGTTCTTGCCTTCTGGAAGCTCTGCTCACACGTGCACAGGCTCCGCTTGTTCCTCTGCCAGGCTGCTGTCAGATTCTGGAGGCTTCAGAGTCAACACATAATTCCCAGATGGCCTTGGCCCCATCTCTGTATTGGATGCAGGACCATCATCCGAGTCCTCCCCAGACTCCTGGACTGGCCCATGTTCCTCCTCACTGTCTGACTCTGCTGCCATCTCTGCAGGCTGCCGGCGGACCACAATACTACTGCTAATTCTATTTCAAGGAAGTAAAATATCTTCTGGCACTGACATAACAGCTCTGGTGTCATGAAATTTATATCATTCCCAAAGTACAATATTTCTCTATAAATAATACATCTATAAAGAATTATAGATAATACTTATACCTCTACATGTAGGTGGTTGTGACCAATGACCATTTTGACAAGTCACTTTTGGAGAACCTTCCATTGTATAGAAATTTTGGCACTGATAAGTTACAGTTTCAGACGGGAAATAGGTTGCCTTGGGTATCTCCACAATTTCTCCATTCTCCACGGGAGGTGGGTTTCCACATTTCCCCCCAATATCTATAACAAATACAGAATCTATTGAGCAACACCACTCAGGATTACAAATATTATTGTCTGTTCACACACAAAGACACATTTTAAGCATATTCATAAGAACTATATTTCAAAATTATATTAATTCTTATTTTTAAAAAGCAACAATACCTTACAGCTTGATTAATTGATAGGCAGAAAATGATTACTAGTGTTGTCCCTAGTATTGTCTTTCCACTTTAGAACTTATAGTTCTTATTACTTTCTTAATGCCTAAACTCAGTTCTGTATTTAAATGAATAACAATTGCTTTGGGATAAATGGCATCTCCCCACAAGGCGTTCTCAATTTATTTCCCACTCTCCATTAATAACTGTTCAAACTCTGCACAAATAAATTGTGTAGTTGTATTGGATGTTGTGTCATTCATGTCAGTATTGAAGTGATGGGAGGCTTGCAACATAATAAAAGCAAGAATAGAAAAACATTTTAAAAGTATAAACATTAAAATTAATAGAGATTGATTAAAACTAGGAACCAGTACATAAACAGTACAGTGGTGGAATCTTCTTTCTTAGTGCACCGATCACTCCCAGTGTAAAGTGCTCCATCATGGCCCCAAGCCCATTGGCTAAGCCAGGTTTTGAGGCAAAGCCAGAAGGCTTAGTGGGTGAGGGCATATCTGGCCTCCAGCAGCAAGATTTTCCAGATTGTGAAGGCATGGCAGAGAAGGACCATTTACTAGTTCCTGCTAGCAAAGTTCCTTGACTGAGGAGATCTGCAGCATGTTCCTTTTGCCAGAGGGATTAGGGTGGGCCAATCCCATTGGGGTGAAGCAGCTCCCTGGGCCATGAAAGGCTTTAGAGATGGTAAATAACATATTAAATTGGACCTGGAAGCAAACCAGAAACTAATGCAACCCATGTGACAATTTTGTGTGCCATTGAGCAGGCATTGTGAGTCTGCAAGAAGCCAAAAGTTGTACACAGGATCTGTCTGGGGCAGTGCAACCCCATCCAGAACTGAAGATTTTAAATTCCCAGATCCCAAGTTCCAAGCAGCTATAGCAATGTAGTCATACCAGTGTTCAAGCCTGTTGTCCCCCATCCAGACACCCATAGCATCTAAAGGAGGAAACTGTTCTCAC